ATGTTATATATGAAGAAATAAAATATGTTGCAGGCAATGGAACTGTTACAGAACGCTTTGAAGATTTCACCAAACAATGCCGCCTGCAGATTTTATCGTGCTCGTTTGCTGTATGAAATGCATGATTATGCTCAATGTCTTGAGGAATTAAATGATTTAAAACTTATTGCTCACGATGAAGCGCAGGTTTCATTTTCTTTTAGAATTTATTTTCATATTTCAACCATTATACTTTTCTGCTTCTAATTCTTCTGCCATTCTCGAAACGAGCATATCTTAGCCGTACTAGTCACATTACTGATGATAGCCTGTTATTGACGACGGGATTAGAATTTGTCGAATCTTATGTAAAATTCAGTTTTATTTTTCCATGATAGTGAAATATTAAAAATAAATTATAAATTGCCCTCCTAGAACGATGTCATCAATATTTTTCAAATTGAAAATGGAGTAAAATAAAATGAATACCTATCCTTTTTGAAATTTACACTCTAACTCAGACGTTAAGAGCAGAGGTTTTTGGATAAATAAATGGGCATGAGTTATCATTCTTATTATTTAAAACTATTAATACGAGAATGCTTGGATTTAAGTTTGACTATGTTAATTATGACGAGGAATTTTCAGGTATTTTTCCTTCTGGGTCGCGTACATAAAAAGCTTGGTGACACACATCTAGCGTTATTAAACTTTAGTTTGGCAGCCGAAATGGATCCCCGTGGAGAACAAAGTCGCAATAACTTTACTGATGCACCCTATGATGACGAACCTTCCTCTCCTCATTCTGAATGAAGATTCAAATCTGCAAGATTTACGAATTTTTTAAAGTTTCTATTAACTTTGGAATATTTTATCAGTTACACAGGATTCACAAATAGTAGTTTTTTGTTATTTAGCATTTAAATCCTAGTCATATGTCATATCCTTGATCTGCCATCAGATTTAAGTTTGCAGCTTTCTATTATTCATCATAATCCCCCTTCGCTTAGCAATTAAATCATATTAATTTGTTTTATAGTTTTTGAGAATTAATTTCAATTATTTAAATCAATTTCATCCTTAAATAGCTTGAAAATGTATGACGCTTGATCTAAACTAAGGTTTGTGCATTTACACGCAAATATTGTTGGGTTATTTCATCTCTTCGAAATTTTGAATTGTAATTATCAGAACTGTTCCGTAGTAATTTATCAGTTTATTCATCTCTTCATTTACTTTAGTTAGTCATTGTTCACTTTTTTCCAACATTTTGAGGTACTGGAACACAACTTATCCTTGTTGCTACAGTTTGTTGCTTTATAGCTATTGAAAACACATTAACTTCAATACCCCTGAATTGTGGTTACCTCCTGATGAAATACAAAACACCGCTTGGCACACTTGAAGCTTTTCTTTTGTTATCAACATTTTCTAGTCTTGACACCATAATTTTTAGATCTCACTAATGTCTAAAAGTGATTGGAATAAAACACACTAATGGACTTTTTTAATCTTCTTATTTTAATAACCTCTTCAAAACAGACTGAGGCTTTTAAAAGTTGCAATTCGGAGATGTTAGCTGTGATCAGTTTCAGTTCCCTCTTTATTCGCTTAAATATCATTTCAACAACAGTCTCGACAACCATTTCAAGATAGTCTTTCCACGCCATTTCAAGAAGTGATTCACTTCAACCCCGTTTTCTACATCGTTTTGCTTATATTTTTATTCTTCCTACTGTATAGCTTTTTCAATCTTTCCATTGTATGGGCCTTTCTTTCTTAGTTGTATGTGCTGTCTGAAAAAAATAGAGAACTTTTGCAACTAAATGAAAGGTTAAAGGGCATATCAATGAAATGGACTGTGCCATATTGACATCATTACATCATCAAGTGTAATATCTAATTTTGCTGTTTGCTATTTCTTCACAAACATGTCGCAGAAGTAGTGATCAAAACATTCAAAAAACCATTTTTGTATAAATCTATGATTTTTCTAAAGAAAGCTCTAATTGGTCATAAGTGAGAGTTAATAGCATGGAAATATCTGTAAGTTTCGATTTCAACAAGGATACCTCCGTATTTAATCTTGACAACTAATCTCATGATAGCTCCTTTTTACTTTCTTCGAACTTTGAAGATATATCAATTATTTGACTTTTAAATTCTCAAACAAAAGCATCTTTGTGTTTTGAACAAATAAAGATGCTTTTGTCTATAATTGCATACTGTGTGTTGTGCATACCGTACTGCTATTGACTTCGTATATTATTTCTAGCTTCATATTCTCCAAAAACTTAGTGACGGGCAAATGTGACTGTCATAAAATTAGCAAAAATACTACGCTTGCATATTATCATGAGGGTAGATAGATATTTTCATTTCGCGACTGTCATTTGTGCGTACGTGTATGGGGCGTTGTGTTTCTCGTCTTTTTTGCGTTGTTGTGAGATTAATTGGAGAGGGGGAGGGATTGGTGGGTACGTCTCAAGTGAAGGTTTTTTGACATTTAATACATATTGCACCACTGCATCATTTCCATTGTTGGATTTGAGATATCTGTTTTGTTGAGTATAATTTGGCATTAGCAGTTATATTTTCTAATTTCCCGAGAAAACTGCTTTAACATGTATAAATTTCACTTATATATTGCATCAGCCAATATGCTTGTTTACATTTAGTACCGTTGTCGTCCTTGATGTGGACCATTAATTTGTAAATTATTTAAGTGACATGAGGAGGTCGAAATATAGTGGAATAGAAAAAGAATACCGGGATATTCCAGAAGAAGCAAAGAGGGAAGAGAAGAGGAAATGAGTGTCCTGAAGTGTAACCTTCTCTCATGCGTGCGGAGTTATGTCTGTTAGTTCCTACCTGCAGGCAATAGCAATCCTTGAGAGAGTACAGGAAAGCAGTGTACAAGTGACAAGCATCAGGTAGGTAAGTTCCCGCCCCTGGAGTTGGTCAGAAAGACCGCTTGTCATGCTGTTGTGGATTGACTGGCCAACTATTTGGTTGTCAGTTACTAAGTGTAAGGATGTGCGCCGCTGCTGTAGCTTCCATATACGATGTCCATCAACTGGTCGACTTTTACAGATTGGCCTATAAAGCGGGTTGGTTGCTTGTTATTCGGTCAGAAGTTTATATTTCTTCGCTGTTAGTTTGATTTTCATTTTTCATTTCGACCGGAGCAGTTTCTTTCCCTCCCTCTGTCTGACTTTTCTCTATCTCTCTGTCTCTCTATTATGTTCTCCTCGAGCCGATCATTGCGAGGTACTATTCCGCCAGTTACACGTGAGTAAGAATGATTGATTCCATTTCAGTTTTCATTTTTTTGCTTATTAGAAGAGAACCAAATATTTTTTTAGAGTTATTTTTTTTTAATTTTTTTTTGCAGGATATGGATTTGGAGAAGCCACGTCAGGAGCTTATCCACTGGTTAGCGGTGTGTGAGTATTATTTTATTCTTTTTAATCAACCCACAATCTTTCAGAGTCCGTTCAAGACATTATCAAAACATTTGTGTCATAAAGCAGCACAACTTTTGCTACCCTCTATTGTTACTGCAAAAACAAAGTTTATCAGAACCGTTTAATGCAGGTCACCTACGTTATTTCTATGCTTGTGTGACCTTGCGCCATTCTAGCTAACCATCATGCAGATGGAGTAGTGTACAAGATGAGAATGATGATTAAAAAAGCTGAAAATAATAAGTTGAACGGAATCAAAATTAAGTTTTTGATGAATGCAGGTCACCTGCTATATTTTTAGTTGATCTTCAACTTGACCTCATCACCGGTTTTTTGTTTATTTTGTTGTGGATTCTTCAGCTTCTTATTCTCTGACTTCTTCAGACCTCCGGCAGGCGTTTTTGGTGGTAGTCCAACTCTAAAGGCACGAGATGTGAGTTTCGACACTAGTTCGAAGGAACCCCATCTTGTGAGGTAATTATCAATTTCCTCTTTCGGCAGTTTATTACTTACCATTGAAAGAAGTCTTTATGAATTATTTTAAAATCAAAAATCGACTGATCATGATAGAAGGAAAAGAATTCATTCCTCATAAATCATAACCCATTTTTGCCTATTCGTTACACTGCAGCACAACTTTTGCTATCCTCTATTGTTACTGCAAAAACATGTAATAAATTGGAATCATTGGTGCAAAAAAACGCAATAAATTGCTATAATCTGGTTGGTTTCAATTAATAAATTCGATAATTGCACAACTAGATTTGCGTCGGAATGTTCAAGAATTTTCAAACTGAAGCTCTAGATGCCATGCTGGAAGTCATACAATAATGTTTTGCAGAGAAACGATTTCCATGACAATAGTGCTTAAATTTCTGCTTTAATTCATTCTCAGCAATTTTTTGTTGCCATCCTAATTACTAATATTTACCATTTAAGTCTGTAGCGCATATGGAAGAATATAGTCGAATTCATTTGCTCAATTTTAAGAGCATGATAATTCCTAACATCCTTGTAGAGATAATCTTTCTATGCTTTCAAATAATCAACATTTAAGAAGATACATAAAGTTTTATGTTTTCGACGGAAGTCGGCTTTTTAAAACTATTAAACACAGTTGAATTTATTTTAGATCATTTACAATTTACATAGCTTTAAATATCCTGCAACTTTCATCATAGTTCTATTTTTAAATCACTATAATGCAAGCTACTTTGAATTTCACTGTATCTCTGGCCTTAAAGTAAATAATCGAGAGTTAAGATGCCGACAATATGATTTGTAATTTCATATAAATTAATACTGTAAGAGGAAGTCAGTTTCTTCTAAAAAATTTTCACTTAGCTGTAAAAGTCTTCCGCTCTGTTGTGAATACGTAATTGGTCATCAGCACAAGTCTGAATTTTTATGACTACATCGATTAGCTTTTGTTTTATTAGAAGGAAATTGTGATGCTTAATTTTCCGATTTTCCCAGTTTTTCTCATTAATTTATCTCTTTTTTATGTTACAAATTTTGCCAGCTAACATTCTGGTTACAGAAGCACCTGATTACAATACTGTGTTAAAAAGAAATTATTTGCCTCACCGAAGCTATAAGGCATATGATCTTGCTATAAGGTGTTTGGTATGGAGTAATTGAAAATATTTGAAAACGCTCAAATAATCACTATTTAGGGCCCGTGTGTTCGTCGGTAATATGAACACAAATGTTATTACTCGAGACGACATCATCCGACTCTTTAGCGCTTATGGGACTCTTTTGGGTGTTACGGTTTTTAAGGGATATGCTTTCATACAGTACGGTACCTCAACTGAAGCGGATCTTGCAGTAAGCGCTCTTAATGGATACAGCTGGAATGGTTCCATACTTGGTAAGCTGGTGAAATCAGATTTGCTGCTTCTGTAATCATAAACTTCGTGGCGCATGCCCATCGCATCATATTGCTTATTTTTAGGGTCATTGCAGGTACACTTGGTTATAAAAAGTTGCAACTCTGAAGGCGTTAAACTTATTAAATTTTCCTCAGATAGGGCTGTTTTTCGCAGTTTTTTTTATTAATTTATCTTAATTTTTTATCACGGAGAACTTCAGCCGCTTCTGCAGTCCATCCATTTTTTCATTGGCCATATTTTTTGTCCACTATTTAGGTTACATCTTTCCGGGAAATTTTTTTGTTTTTTTCGATATTTTTTATAATTTTTCATAGATGTGAAGCTCGCCATTGCTGGAATGAAATCGCACAACGTTACATCAACTGTTTCAACCTCTAACGGGTATTTTTTCCAAAAATTTTTTTATCGACCAAATAGAGTGCGGCATTTGTCCATGCGTTTTAGGCTTTTCTTGTTTTTGACTGTTTGCAGGGCGTTGTCTTCAGCTCTATTTAATGTTTTTAATGTAAACCGAAAGGGACAGTTTGTCTGGGTTGTTTTCTATTTAAAACTTTTTATGAAAATTTCTGGTCGGTTAAAGAAGTCTTTGCTCGCAAATTTTTGTGTTTACTTCACTGGGAAGCATGAAGCTTCGAAATTTAACTCGTGGCAAGGCAAATTTCTTCAGGGTCACGTTTATTTGTTAACAAAAATTTTTGTTTTGCAATTTATTTCGGAACTTTAATAAAAACAATGTAAAATCCTCTTCAGAGAATTTTGAAGGTAAGTTTGCTTAGTTTTTCCTTTTATCTTGCTGGATTAATTACTTTTATTTCTTTTCAGGGTGAAACGTGGCGCTGAAAACTTTTCCGGTATCAGTGCAAATGCGAAAAAAGAACGTCTTGATGACTATGGGAGGGCTGCAGCGCAGAACAATCGAAATCGACAAACTGCAGCAACAGATAGTACGGAAAGTCGAAATTTATATGAAACCGGTAAATATAATATCAGTTACTATCAAAGGCTTCTGGACATAGTGATGCAGCAGCAAAGAGAAAAGAAGCTTTATTGTGCAAATGGCTGACCGTGTTGTAATTTTGAAATCATTAAAAATAATTCTCGCCAAAATTATCATGCTTCTTTTTTTGTTGACTTGAACTCGCTGTATTATGCTTCTAGTTTTGTACTCTTTGCAATCGGACTAAAGTTCTGAAAGGAAGTATTTAGTTCTACACTGTAGAAAGTATTTAGTTTTACACTGTATATCTGCAGGTATGCCTGATACGCTGATATGCGGTGGATGTCGTTTTGTAACCAGTGATTTTGAAGACTTCAGAGAACATCGTAAATCTGCCTGTCCTATAAATTCCATCGATGGTTTGCCTTTTTTTGAGACTTTTATACAGTTTTAAGAATAATAGTAGAGTGTCAAAGTTTATAGAGCATTTAAGTATAAGGGTAAAAAATGGATAATGGTTAGTAGAGTAGTATCTCCAGTAAAGAATCGGGCTTTTTAAAGGCGAGGTGGAAAATGAAGAAATGAAGTGGCAGTGTTCAATGTGTGATGAAGTTTGTGCAAATGGAGGAGCACTTATTGACCATGCTCTCGACAGGCACAATATTCGGCTGCTGAAAAATGGCACCGAATAAAACATCGCCCCTTGTATCTATTGTGAATTTTAGTGTTTCATTCAAATTCAGTGAATCCATTTCGTTTGTTGTCTCGTACTTCTGACCAGCTTTTTAAGAATTTTTGCCGTTGTGGGGATAGGTGATTTATATGTATCCTTTTCTACTCCTGGTCTCAACATTAGATAAAACCGGTGTTCAGGAAATTTTGCATGAGGAGGCACAGAACTATTACTGGATCACCAGTTTGATTTTCTAAGACATGGAGACGAAAATTCCTGCTCAAAACGAAAATAACTAACTTGGTTTCTTTATGATTAAATTCCATTTTTTTCTTTAAAATTTGTGGGGAACTGGCCAAATTTTTCAGAAAAATAATTCGATTCATGCTCGTGTTGCTTCTTGAGTAATTTGTTCCATGTGTTTCATTCGTTTATAGTTCACTTTTTTATTTTTCCGTTGTCCATACAGTTCATTTTGTATTGACTATTGAATAATCCATAATTTAGTATTTGTTTTCAAATTTCAGTTGATAAAGTGTCCCAGTTTTGCTGCATGTTATTCGTCTCCTCTATTGTCAGACTCAAGAGATTTTAGATTCATGAGAATGTACTGGGTGGTCTTCCAGAAAATCAGATCTTGGTATTCCACATATATGTCCCGAAATATCGGGAACTTTGCATCTGGTTTATAGATTTCCTTGCAAAAGGCAATTGTTTGGCCCATTTGATCCAAAGTTGTGCATTTCTTAATAGCTATCGACTAGATAATTAGTTTGTTCTACATAGAGTGAAGACAATTACTGCCTTGTTTCTATACGCATCTTTAACAATGTTCGGTTTCGTAAAGTGAGACAGATTTCAATAGAAATTCATGACTAATAAAAGGGACTGTAATATTAATCGGACGTCAGTTTGAAAGAATTCCAGTTTATTCAAGCCAATAAAATGAATTTGTCAATAGTAATAGGTATGGCAATGTAAAAAACCATGAACAATGGTGGTTAGGATATCACAAATGCTATACAGTAGGAAGAATAAAAATATAAGCAAAACGATGTAGAAAACGGGGTTGAAGTGAATCACTTCTTGAAATGGCGTGGAAAGACTATCTTGAAATGGTTGTCGAGACTGTTGTTGAAATGATATTTAAGCGAATAAAGAGGGAACTGAAACTGATCACAGCTAACATCTCCGAATTGCAACTTTTAAAAGCCTCAGTCTGTTTTGAAGAGGTTATTAAAATAAGAAGATTAAAAAAGTCCATTAGTGTGTTTTATTCCAATCACTTTTAGACATTAGTGAGATCTAAAAATTATGGTGTCAAGACTAGAAAATGTTGATAACAAAAGAAAAGCTTCAAGTGTGCCAAGCGGTGTTTTGTATTTCATCAGGAGGTAACCACAATTCAGGGGTATTGAAGTTAATGTGTTTTCAATAGCTATAAAGCAACAAACTGTAGCAACAAGGATAAGTTGTGTTCCAGTACCTCAAAATGTTGGAAAAAAGTGAACAATGACTAACTAAAGTAAATGAAGAGATGAATAAACTGATAAATTACTACGGAACAGTTCTGATAATTACAATTCAAAATTTCGAAGAGATGAAATAACCCAACAATATTTGCGTGTAAATGCACAAACCTTAGTTTAGATCAAGCGTCATACATTTTCAAGCTATTTAAGGATGAAATTGATTTAAATAATTGAAATTAATTCTCAAAAACTATAAAACAAATTAATATGATTTAATTGCTAAGCGAAGGGGGATTATGATGAATAATAGAAAGCTGCAAACTTAAATCTGATGGCAGATCAAGGATATGACATATGACTAGGATTTAAATGCTAAATAACAAAAAACTACTATTTGTGAATCCTGTGTAACTGATAAAATATTCCAAAGTTAATAGAAACTTTAAAAAATTCGTAAATCTTGCAGATTTGAATCTTCATTCAGAATGAGGAGAGGAAGGTTCGTCATCATAGGGTGCATCAGTAAAGTTATTGCGACTTTGTTCTCCACGGGGATCCATTTCGGCTGCCAAACTAAAGTTTAATAACGCTAGATGTGTGTCACCAAGCTTTTTATGTACGCGACCCAGAAGGAAAAATACCTGAAAATTCCTCGTCATAATTAACATAGTCAAACTTAAATCCAAGCATTCTCGTATTAATAGTTTTAAATAATAAGAATGATAACTCATGCCCATTTATTTATCCAAAAACCTCTGCTCTTAACGTCTGAGTTAGAGTGTAAATTTCAAAAAGGATAGGTATTCATTTTATTTTACTCCATTTTCAATTTGAAAAATATTGATGACATCGTTCTAGGAGGGCAATTTATAATTTATTTTTAATATTTCACTATCATGGAAAAATAAAACTGAATTTTACATAAGATTCGACAAATTCTAATCCCGTCGTCAATAACAGGCTATCATCAGTAATGTGACTAGTACGGCTAAGATATGCTCGTTTCGAGAATGGCAGAAGAATTAGAAGCAGAAAAGTATAATGGTTGAAATATGAAAATAAATTCTAAAAGAAAATGAAACCTGCGCTTCATCGTGAGCAATAAGTTTTAAATCATTTAATTCCTCAAGACATTGAGCATAATCATGCATTTCATACAGCAAACGAGCACGATAAAATCTGCAGGCGGCATTGTTTGGTGAAATCTTCAAAGCGTTCTGTAACAGTTCCATTGCCTGCAACATATTTTATTTCTTCATATATAACAT